GATTCAAAAAGAACTGCATGCAATTTTCAAAAGAACATGAATAAACACAATAAGGAGCATTGTGGGACTATGAAAACTGACTGATTTATTATGGCACAACCTTTCACAGACTAAGTCCATGAATGAGATGCATGAGATGATATTTTATAGTTTGGAAAATATATGCACATAGGGGTATAGTGAAAAAAGCAGACAGTGGGGCTAAGGGGCAAGTGGGGAAGTGCAAGAGATACACTATGGAATACCTTTATCAGACCTGCATTATTGGTGAGCAGGATTGGGCACCCTCCAAACGCTCATTCCTAACTGGAGGCCCACTGGCAAAAGCCTCTGCATCTGCTGCTCCTCTGCACCGTCTACCATATATACACGGAAGTGTGTTTGGACAATGCTGTCTCTTTGGCTTACATACAGAGATGAACACTGGCCCCGGAGTCAGACACAACTAGCCCGTATGTGCAGGGCAACATTTACCTTTACTATATATACACAAGTGTTAATATATTAAGAGTAAAGTCCCATGCACCCTGGAGGAAACTACCGTTTTCATAGTACTCTGTACTCAGAGCCATTATGCCTATCTACACCAGGTGCTGGGAAACATGGGGGTGAGAGTATGTTTCCTCTGCAACTGTGTGAACCAGGGGTCTCAAACTCAACTTACCTGGGGGCCGCTGGAAGTAGTCTGGGTGAGGCTGGGCCGCATCAAGTATTCCACAAAAAAGGGATTTCAAGTATTCCACAAAAAAGTACAACTGATCCAATCTTCTCAATCTTTACTAATAATAATTCAGAACATGAATGGTTCTTCAGAACATAGGCTTCTCTTACTTCCTCCTACTCCTTGCTGCCAGAGACCTGACAGCGCTTCCTCTTACACAGCTGAGCCACATTTGGCTTGAGGGAGGAAGCAACTGAGACCCTCAGTATGGCTTGAAGATGCTCATCAGCAAGTTTGGACCTGAACTTTGACTTATTAAAGTTCATGGTGGAGAAGAGCTTTTCACACAGATAGGTGCTCCCAAAAAGGCACATGGTCCGCTTGAACATCCTGGAAAGCTCAGGGAAGGTAAGGGGCAATTCTCTCAAAAATTGTCTAAGCTTGTCTGCTTTTCCACTCACCTCCCTGAACTTGGCTTTGAGTTCAGAATTGCATTGCAGGTCAATTAGCTCCATTTGAAGCACAGGGGGGGGGGCATCTTCCACATCGAAGGAGAAGGGGTCAGCAAAAATTTGAAAAGTGGCTCTGTGTGTCTTGAAATCTGCAAACCTGTAATCAAATTCAATGGCATCAGCATACTTCTCACCACTGAATGGTGTGCCAGAATCCATGAGTGCCTTGCATGCTGGGAAATGGCAGAGGTTTGTCTGAGAAAGCTGGGCTTTCCATAACACAAGTTTTGTGGAGAGTGCTCTGACATTGTCAGAGGCAGCACTGACAAGCTGCCCCTGGCCTTGTAATTTCTTGTTCAGTACATTCAGCTCCTGTGTGATGTCAACAAGAAAAGCTAAGTCCATGACCCATTTGGGATCACTTAGTACAGGAACAGCCATCCCATCTTTCTCCATGAAGGTTTTCACCTCTGCTCGTAACTCAAAAAACCTCTTCAAGACGTTTCCCCTGCTAAGCCAACGTACCTTGGTGTAGTAGAGCACATCCTCATATGCTGACTCTATTTCCTCTAAAAAGGCGTGGAACTGCCGGTGCTTTAAGCCCCTGGATCTGATATGGTTGATGCATTTCACAACATCAGACATCACATTGTCAAACTTCAGGCATTTGCTGCAAAGGGCCTGCTGATGGATAATGCAGTGCAGAGCAATGGCCTCTTCCACAGCCTCTTCTTCCAATTTTCTTTGAACAAGTGTCACGACTCCTCCCTGTCATTGATGGCGCTGTGTCGGTTATTATTCCAGCAAAACTCTTCCATAGTAAGCTGGCATCTGGAATGGCATCACACAGCTGGCGGAATATCTCCTGAGCGGTGGTCTGGCCATGCATTGGAATTCCTGTGACTAACTCCTCCATCACTTCAAAATTGTCGTCAACACCATGGACATATATTGCGAGTTGCGCAGTCAGTGACGTCTGTGCTCTCATCAAGAGCAACTGAGTATGCATGTGTTTAGCTTTCTCACACAGTTGATCGTAAATGTTACCTGACAGGTCAGAAATGCGCTCTACCACTGTGTTGGCTGAGAGGCTGATGTTGCTAAACTGACCCTTTTTTTCCGGACAGACTACTTGTAGCCTGTAACATGCACTATTTGATGAACTCGCCATCTTTAAATGGCTTTCCTGCCTTAGCAATCATCTCACTCACTACGTAGCTGGCTTCGACTGCCGCATCACTCTCTTTGCTTGCTTTCTTGAAAAGTCTTGTTGCCTCAGTAGACATGTTTTAAGTTTGGCGACACGGTCCTCTCTCTCATCTCCTGGTATTTTGCATACTCCTCAGCATGTCTAGTTGACTAATGACGTCTGATGTTGTACTCCTTGTGCACCGCAACTTTCTCTGTGCATATAAGACACGTCAGGATGCCCGTGCTCAACAAAAAAATATTCTGTTTCCCACTTCTCCTGAAATTGTCTGTGCTCATCGCTAACCTTTGTCTTCATGGCAGGTTTTGAGAAAGACATGACTGGAACTGGGTGACAAAAAAAACGTATTTGCACTGGGTGACAGGATATATTTTCCTTTCACTCGGTGACACTTCCGAATCACGTTTCAAGTGACTAACGTTGTTAATTTGCGTTGCTGTCACGATTCTGAGCTATGGTAGGCCACAGGTGACAAAAAAATATAAAATGCCCAGGCAATGTTCCCTCTAAGCTGCGCGCCGGGACGGGCGGGGCACGGGGGAGGGGCCCTGCGGCCTTCAAAGTGTGGCGGCGCCTGGGCCGGCCTCCGGGAGCCACGCGGGATGAGCGGCCCACCAGGAACATTGCGCCCAGGGTAGCGACTCACGCAGGTGCGTGTGAGAAAAATGCGCGGGCCACACTATCACTAAACTTTGATATCAAGTGGGGGCCACAAAATATCCTTCCACGGGCCGCAATTGGCCCACGGGCCGCGAGTTTGAGACCCCTGGTGTGAACAAAATGCTGAGCTAGATGTTCCCTTGGCTGGATCCTGTGTTCAGAAATCAGTCCTATTAAGATTAGTGATACTTACTCCCAGAAAACTGTTTCTAGGATTGTAGCTTCAGCAATGAACTCAGTAAAAATACATAGCAGCCACTTACAATTCACAAAGTGGTATTATTGCAGAATGCCGGAGAAAATAGTCACAAATTATCCTTGGTCTTTCAACTTACTGCAGAGCAGCAAGTAATTTCTAGACAGTGACCAGACCTTCCAGCTAGGAAGCTCTGAAGAGGTCTGTAACTTCCAATTGACTGCACAGGGAGAGATAATATATTATGTGCACACATGCAGTGAACCTAATGCAATTGCACAGATGTTGTATATCTCAAAATTTTCCATTTCAGTCCCAAAGTTAACATTTCTTTTGTAAATGTGGATTTTTAGCCTGATTTTAGGGATGGTCCCTGCTGATAAATGCAAATTTATTTTTATTTAGTATTTTGTTTTTTAAATATGTGACTGAAGAGTTTCAAAATGCTGGTCCTTAGCTGCCTGCCATCTTTATGCTCCCTCTGTGGGGGTATGTTTAGTGTGTATGGTGTGTATACTGATGTGAGGTTGTGTGTATGGTATGGGTTACCCTGAAAAGGGATGAATGAATCTTCAGTGCTGGAGTTGTGGGCTTGTGAGGTGATCCTGAATGCAGATTCCAGGCGAGGACTTGCTTTAGGGATTCCAAACCCATTTCAATTATGTATTCAGATTCTTGGGCAAGTTACTTGTCTTATAGTTTCATGCTTTGCTTTCCTATAAAATGGTTGTTTTGTGATTGGTTGTGTCCACTACAGTGACCTTTGCATGAAGGGGCAGCCCCACGGCAGCCATTTTGGAATGGCAACCTATAATAATTCCTCAAACTGCAAATGTACCCTCCAGCACCAAAAAGGTTGGAGCCACTTAGTCAGTATTAACTGTAGAGATAGGTATGTGGGGGAGGGGGTAGGAATTGATGGCGGGGACAGCTCTATCTTGGAAGAGCTGCTAATGAAGGCTAATAGATACTATGCTGTGATGATAACCAAGTATTGTGAACTTTGTAAGAGTGTAATATATATTTAGACAGAAAAAACCCTACTACTCCTAGTATGCTCCAGTCAGCACGCTGGGAGTAGTAGGGCTTTTTCCTGATGAAATATGCGTAGGATTGTGCTTTCAACGTAGCATTTTTGTGGACTACATCCTGCTCTGTTAAACATATAAACAGGAAGAGACTTCACCTGTGACACTTTCCAGACAGATTTAGACTATCATCTTAGACACACTTTTTTCGGAGTAAGTCCCAGTTAACTCGCAGAGATCTGCTTTTCAAGAGCCATGTGTAGGGCTGCTGCACACACGACTATTTTAGCTCGAATCGCAGTCCAGCAAACAAAGCCGCCGAGGCCGCAATCAATTTATGAAGCCTTTTTAGCCGCTCGCTCTGTTTGCTGGGACGGGCTCCCTCTGTGGGGCTCGCCTTTCCCTGGCTCGGCCGCCCCCTTCTGGGACTGACTCCGCATTGCGCCCGGGAGGCGTTCTCCGTCGTCGCCGGCCGCGCTGCGCGTGCAGCGGGCGAACGCCACCAGCTCGCTTTCTTACTTTCCCGCCTCCTCCTGGCCAGGGCGGCAGCGCAGCTTGGGAGCCGAGCCGCGGCGGGGCTGCCTTCCAGGCAGAGGCAGAGGCTGCCCGTGCTTCAGCGGGGCCTGGCGACGGAAGCGACAGCGGGGAGAGCGCGGCTGGGCGGTCCTGCTGCATCCTGCCGCCGCGGACGCAGTGGGAGAGCAGGGGAGGCAGCTGCGGCTGAGCCCCGTCGCTTTTCCCAGCTCACGCTGCACCAGCAAGGCCCAGCGGGGCGGCGCTGGCGGCAGGCTTGCCGGGAGTGCATGGGGCGGACGCGGCTCCGTGTTGCTGAGCAACTCGGGCCCGGGGAAGGAGGGCTCTCCGCGTGGCGTTTCCCCCAGCCCCTCCGCGGACGGAGGGGGCGAAGGCGGCCTGCCCAGTGGCCCTGCGGGGATGTAACCAGTGAGCGGCGGATGGGAGGACGCCTCCTGCAGGAGCGCCTCTCTTCGGCCCTGTGGGCGTGAATGGCTCGTCCCCACCCCCAGAGGGGCTTGCTCCTTTGACAAGCGAGGTACCCCGTGGCACTTCTTGTGGAGTAAGTATTTCGCTCTAAAAGCTGCATTTGCTGACAGGGTTTGATAGTCCAGTTCCTCCGTGGGTGGAGGTGAGACTGCTTCGAGCCTGGCAGCATTCTCACACGGGAAGCACTTTTGCCTAAGTGTGCGATCCGTTTGTACATGATGAGGTACGTATTTTGCCGCATGTACAACTGGGTGACTGGGCAAGAGGATCGCAAGTGGGGTCAGTCACTTTAACTAAGTGCACGCTTTATTATTGCAATTTTTGGAAAGTATTTGCTTCACCTTGGAGGGCCAAACGTGCCCATTACGACTCTGGAAAATAATCTTGAGGTCGTACTGGGAGGACCACTGCATTTGGTAACTCAGTGTGCTGCAGTATTGTGGAAAAAGTAAACTCGATATTAGGAAAGATTAGGCGAACAGAACTATAAGTGGTGAAATTCCATTTATACAAACTCATAATATTGACATGTTTAGTGCAACCAACTGGTGCAATTTTTGGCTTCCCAGCTAAAAAGAGCAATGTATGTAGGCACACACCATCATTACTTAGAAATAAATCCCAACATTTTCAGTGGAGCTTTCTAATTAATGTATTTAGGGTTGCAGTCTAAAAATGATCAGAAAGGAAGAGTCCTCTGGTTCCTTAAAGAATAACCATTGTTGGCAAATAGTATTCATTTTGTGCACTACAAGCTTTCATATGTATGAAATTTGTCCTGAGATTCAGGTACATTATATGGAAAAAATTATGTCACAATAAATGTGTTAGTCTTTAAGATGCCCCATGTCCTTAGTTTTTGCTAACATGGCAACCCCACTGGAAATAGTTAAATGATAATTGTATTAGAAAATAAGTGACACTAGATGGATTGAGAGATTTATTTAGTTCTTTTAAAAAACCAAATATAACTGAGGAAAGGAATGAATAACTAATGGCAGAGTAAATAGAGAGACATAATGCTTTCTCTGCCATAGTACTAGAACTTGGAATCCTCCAGTGACATTATTGGAACTAGTTTGACAAAGATGAAAAGAAACATCCAACATACTGCATAATTAATCACTGGACTACTTGCCAGGTGGTTTTAAAAATATTAGGCAAAAATTTATCCATTGTTATTAACCATAGCAGTGAAATAGGCCTTCCACATTAAGAAGCAGAATAAAAGTGTCAGATACTGCAACGACTGGAGTAGAGGATGGTTGCATGCAGTTTGTGATCTTTTATGGTCATCTGACTGGCCAATATTGGCTAGGAATTATGGGAACTGCAGTCCAATTAATCTGGAGGGCATCAGAAAGCTGATCTAGATAGCCCTTACAATTATCCAGCAATAATTCTTATATATGTGCTGTAGTCAGATGTCATGTTCTCTACTTAGTTGTATGCTATTCCTTTATAGGAAATAAGCTTACCATATACAAGTTTTGTCATCCTTGACCTGTTCCTGAGCCAGACATACAATAGAATAGCATTGAGAAAGTCTCCCAGTTTTTTCTGCATTTCCTATTTGTAAAATAGGAGTAGAAAGATTAAGAGTTGTTTGTGATGAGGATGTAAAAAGGGCTTAGAAGCCACTTCTCACATTCAAAAATGCTATAGAAATAGGAAGCTGTGTGGATATTAGGTTGGACCCAGACAGAGTTAGTTGCACTTCAGTTCCATTGAAATGTGTGGTACTAAGTTAGTTTTAGTCCTGATTAACTGCTGTCTTGATTTCAGTGGGATTCAATATGACTTACTCCCTCTGTGCCTATCCTTCTGTGTTGAAACTGGTTGCTTGGATGCAAGTCTTGGGTTAATCTTAGAAATATCCAATGTGATCTTGTGAGAGTCAGATTATATATCCAACTTTGATTGCTTTCTTTTAAAATGGAAGGGAAAGAGTGAAATGCTCATAAAAAGTTGAATTTTAATTAATCTCACTTTCCACAGATGAATGCTAAAACTCTAATATTGGAGAAATTTATTTACAAGCTTCAGAATTTTATACCAATTAGAGAACTTAAAAATATGAGCCTACATTGAAGTAATCATAATGTGAAACTAGTGTACAATATGTCATATTTGTGTGGATTCCAATTAATTGGTGGTCTGTACTAATTAGAGAATTGATAAAGTTGGGCCTGTGGCACAGTTTTTATGTTGAGGTAGAACACCTACTTTTGCAGAATGCAGACGTGCGCTTTTATGGTTACATCTTATTCCCTTGATATTGTTGTATATTTGACTTTATAATTATTTTAGTTTGCTTTCAAGTCAGTTTACATATTACAAAACATAATATACTTAAGCAACTATTATCAGTGAAACTAATAAACAGTGAAAATAGATCTCGAGCCCAGAATATATTAATACAATTACTGCTAAAATTCAGTGCATCTAAAAGACTATCAGCATAAAACACAACCTGAACAGGAAACCAAAGGAAACAAATGGATCTTCAGAGTTTTCCTAAGACCTACAAAACCTGAGTCTGATGGACCCCAGATGACAACCAATTCTAGAGCCTTTAACAGTCTGTCCCTTGTATGGCTTGCCACTGATATTTTTTAGTTAATTGTACTATTAAGTGCAACTTGCATTCTAGGATCATAGTGGGCAGTATCCAAGCGGGGTTTACTTGCTAGTGTAGCAAGAACTTACCAGTCACCAAAGCGATTAAAAATGAGTTGGGGCACTAGTTTATGGAACAGCACAGGTCATTAGAACTCATATAAGGGAGCTCTACTGGCTTGTCCCATTCCAAATACTGGAATTTCTGCTTGTTCTAAGATTGCTTTTGAAAGTGCTAATTACTCTTAAACTCGTAGTGGACCTCATGAGTTCAATAGAACCAGGGAAGGCAAAATGGCAGTACTGGATACTTCCCAGTCTTTCCCAGCTGACCTTGAATATGCTTCCCTACTCAATCTGACAGTTTACGAACAGTTTACAAAAGGGGAAATTTTATGTGTGATTTTATGTTCTTGCCAGTACAGTCCTCTCTCTGTATGAGAATTGTTCATTCCTTGTTGTCTAGTAGAATACCTGTTTCTGTTATGGGGAAGACTTTGTATCCTGTGTTTCAGGTAAAAATAAGTTAAATGTCTTTTTAATTTTTTTTACTATTAATTGGAATATAGTGGAATCACCTACATGCCAAATTTCAGCTTTCCATCAATGATTGAAATATCGTCATGTTTTGATCAGGACTAGTTGCACTTATTTGCAGCAGGAACTGTTTTTTAGAGTTGGATCCTGGGCTGCTCTTGGAATGTGCGTATTGAAAGATGGTAATAGTTTCCCCACAAACACTGACTAACTAGAAGGATGATACTTGTATAGGAAAGAAGTATGTCATTAGCTGTGCTTAATAACTATTTAACTATTTAGTATGGGAGGGAAGGAACTGCTACTAGTCTGCTTCCTCTTGTCTCTTGCAATCCTGTTTGATATAATGTCATTGTGTTACATCCTCGTATGCATTGCACCATCCCACACAATTGGCTGTCTGCAGTTGAAGTAGGGCAGTTGTGTGACAGAACAACCCACTATGACTTAATTTGAAAAAAGGGCTGCTGTTGCATTAGGTGTCCACAGATATCTGTTTTGCATGGTGCCTGTTGGAAAACTGCTTGTGATGTTTATTTTATTTATTTTTTAGTTTATAGACCACACCTTTAGCCCCATTAGGGCTCTCTGGGCGGTGTAATGTTGTGCAGACAGAGTCAACAAGGGTTGTTTCAGAGTTAGACAACTCTCAAAAAGCGCATGGCTTATTTTAGGATAATTTGAGGGTCATCTAACCTGAACCCCAGCTGCCTATGACAATCCAGGCATTAAGCAAAAAGGCATTCATGGTTTAAATTAAGCTAAATCGGGTTATTGTGTCATGTGATCCAGGTCAGAGTGCTCATTGAGACCTCACAAGGAGGAGAGAGACAACAACAGCGTCCTTTCTAACGTTTAGTTAGAGTCCTAGTTTCTTTGTATATATTGCCTATGCACGGTATGGGATTAGATCATGGGGGAAGTGGTTTGCGTGTTTCTGCACATAAATGTAAAATAGTCCTTAGGTCCATCTTTTATCACTGCTGGTACTGAAAAATAGAAGTGGGTGAAATACTTATGTTTTGTTGGCTCCATAATCTTATAAAAATTAGCTTAGACAAAAGGAAGCAGTTAATCTTTCTGGATCCTGTCACTGTAAAGGAACGATCACTTAGAGGGAGACATGTAATTCAGATGAATGACAAATGTATTTCCCAGCCTCAACAAAGAAAAACAATACAGTAGAGTCTGGCCTCCTTACTCTAGATAAAACCTTAGACCAGAAATTTAATAAGACATCAGGACTCCTCTGTTCTACCTGTCTCAGCTTATCAAAGGACTACAGCAGCTCCATATATGCAGCATACAGATGTGATATGTGCACACAAATTCTACCCAAGTGTTTCTCCCAGCACTTTTCTAATGCATGGATGAATAATACAAGGACATTTTTATCTGGGCCAGAGTCCCTAGATGCCTGCATGTGCATGTCTAGTTTGTATGTACATGCACTTTAAAGTGCAAAATTGGCTTATGCACAGCAAACAAGTTTCCTACAATATTGTGGAACCTCCTTAACTGCTTTGTAAGCTAGATATAACTAAAGTTTTAAAATGAATAAATAATTTGTTTATGTGGAGGTATTTTGTGAAAAGGACAATGAATGCTTTGGTTTGTTAGAATTTTAGGTATGTAGGAGACACAACTGTTTTTCTTCCTTGAACTGGCACTAATCTGTGCTGGCACAAGTATTTTAGAAGTTTGAAAGAGAATTCAGATCCAGACTTTTGTGATGCGGGCTTGTTTATGGATTCCACAAATGTACTCAGGCATGATTCTTGAAGGCTCAAACAAAAAGATACTGTGGCATTCTGTAATGTGACTGGTTTGTGGGTGGGGAGTGACTGAGCTTTCCTAGAGTATTGCCTACATTATCAGATGAATGAGGTAGTTGGCCTTTGCATATGTACAAGAAGG